AAATGCACTCGTATATGTTCATAAATATAACAAATTGAATAAATAAATTTATTTTTGTTAACAGGTTTTCCAGTGCATCTGAACTTGATGGACTTTTTGCACCTCCAGTTCCTTCTAATGCTTATGAACTTTTACAATTAGAAGATACTATTAAAATAATCTTTTTTAAAGAATGGATCAATTTTTATATACAAATCCATTGGAAGCCGTGCAGTTTGTATCAATTTTTAGTTACTTGAACTCACTCAGTGACTTCTTATTTATTGAAAAGTTTTTAATAGAAGAGGATCAAAATAAACAAATCCCGGTGGTCAACGCACTCTATGATTACTTGGAAGACAATAATGATAATAAAGTAATGAAAGTCAAATTGGCAAGAAAATTATTGCAAGGCAGTGACCTATATGGAGAAAAAAATAATGAAAATTTCGATGTAACTTTTGTCAATGCAATGTTTGAATATATTGTCAGTTCTCTTGTATTTGACAAATATGGAAATGTTTATGGATTTTTAGCTCACGTTGTTCAAGAAACTAAATGTTTTCAATTAGATTTTTTGCTCGAGGAAATAGTGGCTAGCCTAAAAAATGCGAGGTTTAAAAATGAGTATGGCGAGAATTCGAGACTTTCTAGTTTAGCAGTGAGGAAAATATTTGCTGATATAATCCTGCCATTGTTTCCTCAAACTAAATCTGACATTAACATTTTGTCTATTGATTACATTTACGCACAGGCTGGTTCTATATTCCTTCGAACTGGTAGACCGAATACTGCTTTTTACACTGAGTCGCAGGACTTCAATAAAGCTGCCTATGATCAAGAGAAATTATTTGAACAATATTTGGTAATTGGACATCTATTAAGAAATACCCTCAACAGTGAGAACATACATACATTCCGTAAGCTTTAAAGCTTTTGCTCTACCAGCCCTTTTTTATTACGTTTATCTTGACAAGCAAAAAGTGAAAGATGTCTTATTTGATGTTAACTTCTGGAAAGTGTCGTTTCTTCATTTTTATTCATATCTAGATGGGAATCTTAATGAAATAAAAGACAAATTTGAAAAAGACACCAAGTATCAATTACATAATGCATTATTAGAATTTAAGAGTCAGCCGACAATAGCTAGATACCTTTTAGATATTCACTGCAAACATCTAAATGAGGAAGAAATAAAAACAAATGTCAAAGAATATTTATACTTTCCAGAACACTCGCAATGTGGAAAAGGATATTTATTACCGAATTTGAACCAAGAGTTTATGAATAACGTGAATAGAATAGGTGAAATGTATAAAATTCATGATATGGAAGTAATGCAGCAATTATTCAGAAAAAATTTGTTAAGTTCTTTAAATGACAGCGAAGTAGTTATACAATTACTAGCTCCGGATGATAAAGTAATTTCAGGTGTCTTTGATAATAATACTCGAATGTCTTACGATTTGTTTGTTTTTTATTATCCAGAAAATTCGAATGCAGATTTCTATGCATTAATTCGAGAAAATTATACGGCAACATTAATTAAAGAAGTTGATGATCCTACGGACTTTCAACTAAAAACTGGCCTGAGTGTTGACATGTTATTAAGTCATCGGTATCATCGAGTAAATTTAAAGTCTGCCAATCAGTCCATGGACGTATTTTGGGAAAATTTTATGACATTTAAACTACAAAGGTTGACATCTTATCTCAAGTATTCAGGCGGAGATCTGTCACTAGGTGAATGGTGGAGAGAATTTGGCTTATCCTTGATGCCGTTCTATTCATGCATAGAAAAACCAGAAAATGCAGAAACTGTTAGCAAAAATTACTGCGAACTCAATGAAATCAATTTTTTGCATCAAGGGGATGACGATATTTCTTCTCAATTGACCAACTCAGACATAAGATCCTTTTTGAAAACGATAAGCACGACATTTAAAAGTGCCCAACTCTTTTTAACAATTAGTCAGAAATATAATGTTACTGCAGCAAATAAAGATATTGATGGCCTTATGAAAAAACTTGTATTGCATATGGAAGAACCTGGATATGATCTTACCTACCTGACTGAAGAAGATGTAGATTTAATGCAAAGCGTCGTTAATACTTTAAAAGAGGTTGTTAATAATTCCTTTTCGTTTGTAATAAATATTTTCAATAAAATGAGAATATTTAAAAAAAGTGATTATAAAGTCATTGGTTATATTCCAGAAAAGGGGAATAAAAATTTGTTCATCAGAACTGAAAACACCAAAGGAGATACTGGTTATGGTTATAAATTTGCATATTTGTATAATCACACTGTACAATTACGAACTGATTATCAATTTAAAAAACAAATATTTGTTGCACCTCTAAATCCGGAAGTAGAAGTTGAAAAGATATACTTTGAAATTACTTCTAGTAGTGGACACGGTGAAGAACCTACACATCTATTGTATGAAACGAACAATCACCTTCAATCTTCAAGAAAATGGTTTGAAGGATTATATGTACATGACTACAATATTAAAGAATGTAATAGTGATTCACACACGGAACATATAATATCTTTAGTCGGTTGTCCACGACATGCACGTAGCATGCAAAAACGATGGAATCTAGATGCATGTTTAAAACTAGCCTTGGCAAGGAGCGCAAATCTTACACACGATCAGGCATTGAAAACAATAGGAAAATACACATTCCCAGATGGAGACAGCATTTGCCTCCAATTCGTAGAAGAGTGGACAAACAATACAAATTTAACAATTCCCGCGTGGGGCGAACAATACATAATAGATAACACTCCTCTTCTTTCTAAATTAAGATACCAATTCTCTCTTGACACTAATAATTTATCAGTCTACAATGGTACGTTCAGAATTTTTTCAATTTATCCATACAGAGAAAGGAAACAAATTGAAAATGGAGAACCAATAAAGAATATAATTAGAGATTTTAACAAACAGCAGGCACGTTATGTTGCTACATTTGAAGATTACTATGCCATACGAAACTTTGCGACAACTGGATATACGAGAATAACAGGCGATACATTTGAAGCGAAACAAATGAAAACAGCATTGTATAAATTAGCAATAAGGCAATCGGACGATCCAGACGAAGGATTTGACCAAACATTATACAAATTTGAATCCAAACCTCAAGAAATTGTTAAAGGAACGTTAACAATTGGAAAACGGATTAGTTTAAAGAAATTTACTACAGCCTCAGTAAGTAAAGGATCTGCATTAAAATTGGCTACAACTCCAACATCTGGATTTATAAATATTTTGTATGAATTTAAGCTTCCCCCTCCCTATATGAGAGCAACAATAGAAGAATCTCATTCGACTGTAGAAAATACAGTAATCCTTTTACCTGGAATTGAATTTATAATTGAAAGCACTGTAAAAGAAGATGGTCTTTTAATTGTAGGACTAGAGTATGCACCCAGTGCAAACGATAAGTACAATTGGTATAAGAAAATTATGAATGAAATTAGTGTAAATACATTTTATTAACAAATCATTTTTCACAAGTTGTATATGAAATTTTGTCTAATGCCAGTTGCAAGGAATGGTTTCAGCGTGAATTTTCTTTAATGTGTTTATGTTTGATATAATAAAGAACACATGCTCTCGACGGGGGGAATAAGTGAATGATGATATAGTGAGAATTGAATTATTCTTAAGAGGTAAAATAATAATATAAAAATCTATGTAAAATGAATAAATTTATAAAACAATATTGTGAGTTGTTACTTACGTAGTTTTTTAAGATGATTTTAAATTCGCCTGATTTGGTCATGAGGCCATTCGCTGATGGTGAAATCATCAGAGTTTGTTGTTTTAAATGACTATCATTGGAATCGTTGTAATGTATCCAGTTTCCTGAAGTTTGCAAGTCCAAGGTGAAAGATTCAGCAGAAAATAAGGACAACTGGAAATTTTTTAGAGCAAGCATTCAAAATTCCTTTTTCAAAATTAGGCTTGAATTTTTTCGACATAAAATTGTCAACATCAGCTTCTCTTTCGCAGTGCACATTTCTTTGACTAGTCCTTAAATGCAAATACTTGAACAAGAAGAAAAGAATTTTATTAAAATTTTCGTTATTTATTGCAAAATGTGAGTTTCAAGTGTATTACGAGGTGCTGTAACCTGTCTATTTTTTTTAAATAGAAAATATTTAAAACAACATACAATTTACTGAAAAATTGTAAAAAAAATTATTGAAATTTGTCAAGAATTAATTAATGTATTGAAAACCATTAAATTGTTCAAAGTCCTTCGAAGAAATTTATTATTTAGGAAAATAATTGAATTCTCGCGAAGAATATTTTTTAAATAATGGAGTTTCTTTAAAAATATTGAAAATAATTGAATTTTATGAACAATTTTTTTCAAGTTTTTAAAATAAAAGTGTTTGTTAATAATTGAAATTGAACATTTAATAATTGAATTTTTAAAAATTTTAGAAAATAATTTAAAGAATTGTATTGAAATTTTTTATAACGAATTAAGAAAACAATTGGATTTTTTGAATGAATTTTATTATTTATGAATAAAATTGAATTGTTTCGAAGGATTTATTAGAATTTTAGAAAATAATTGAATTCTTTGGAAAAATTTTATAACGAATTAAAAAAAAATTGAATTGTTTCGTGAAATTGTTTTGAAAATAACTGAATTTTTGCAAAGATTTTAGAACCTATTAAGAAAAAAATTGAATTATTTGTGAAAATAATTCAATTTTTTTAAAAGAATTATTTAAAAACTTTAATATAATTAATTTTTGCAAAGAATGTTATTATTTATGAAAATAATTGAATTGTTGCAAAGAATTTTATTAAAATTCTTGAAATTAATAAACAAGATGAATTTTTTAAAGTTTGAATCTGAAATTATTCAAAAATTCATATTTGAAAATAAAAAATTTTGTAATTTGCATAATAATAATAAATTTCGTTATTTTCCGTTTCCGTTATTTTTACCTTTCTAACATCAGAAAAAAAGATGAAAGTAATTCTAAATATGCTTTATAACATTAAGTTATGCTTTATTTCCAGAAATTATTTTCGATATGGAAGTCATGTACTTGTAGTAACAAAAAGAAACTATTTAAATTCTAATGTGTGTTTGCAACTTTTTGGCAGTACTTAATTTCTGTCAAAAACAATGTATTTGTCTATTCACAGCGATTAAATATACGAAATTATTCCATACTAATATTACAACTATAGTATTCAAATTTATATTTAAATGCTAAATTATCTTTTTTTTTCACTGTACAGTCGAAAGTCAAATTTTCTGACACTGTATAATTAATAATATTCTATAATGAAGGTATTATCTCAGAAAATACATTCATAAATGGTTTTGATATTTATCAAAATAAAAATACCAATGAGAACAAAGCTTTCGCAATTTTTTTAAATTTGTTCATAAGGAAAAACGAATCATCAGTATCAGCATAAATTTGTCTACAAAAATTTCTTTTCATTCTTTCTACACAATTTTTTCAAATAAATTTCGTTTATCTTTAAAAAAAATTGCTTTCTTGAAAGAGTTACGTCTTATAATAAAATTTTTTTTTGTGTCAAAGACGGGCTTAAAAATCAGAAGATCACATCTTTTTTGAAATGATCAAAATTAACTATTCAAAAGTGCAATATTAGTTTCTTTGACCATTTTAATGCGATGCAACATCTTTACAAGATGTTCCTTGGCGAGAGGGGAAGTTGAATACCACACTGGACTGTCCGGAACGCAGCTTCTTTCAGGTAGTAAGTAAAATACATCGTTTCGTGTTTTTACACTCTCGGGACTAAAACGAAACATTTCTTTCATTATTACATAATTACAACTAATTTACTAACAAGTTGCAAAAAATTAAATGGGAAAATATAAAATTTTCAACCGAAAAAGTATTTACCAAAATTCCATAAATAAAACAAATTGAAAATTTAAATAATTAATAAAATATACGTACCATTTTGATAAATAAAATTCGTACAATTTAACAGGACATCTCAAAGGATTATCTTCATTTTCTTGTTGTTCGTAAACCTTCTTCTTCCTCGAATTGGCTTCTAAAATGAGAAATGGAATTTTAATTTTGAAAGTAAAATAAACATGTTTAATGAAAAATAATTCGAAAACTACTGACCCAAAGCAGATTGAGGTGGATAAAAACGTAACAAAACATTTCTTGAACCTGGAACTTTTCCCGCTACCGCTGAAGGCTGTGCCGCTGGATTTCTCTTCCAGTGTTTCATTATATGCGAAAACGATAACTGCATATGTTCATCCACTGACTAAATATTTCAAAAATGGAATTTAAATTAGTTTGTAGCAAAACTTGGAAAATCCAATTAAAAAATTTGAGAAAGTATCCCCCTTACCACTAAATTAAAGTGCTTCGTGTTGAAAAACATTAGCGTACTAAGAAGTACATGGGGCGAATGAGCTCCTAATTGCTTGCTTTCCCACAAGTGTTCTTCTTCGACTCTCGTAACAATGTATTCTGTAAAAAGTAGTTTTATACATTTTTGCCATTTTATAAATCTGCACTATTTAATTTCTAAAGTAAGGAGTACTAAAAACAATTATTGAATGATACAATGTACGAAATATACGAATTTTGGCCATTGCAAAAATCTGCTGTCCAAAGTAAAAACCTAGTAACCGCTTTTTCAGGGTTGCCACGCTTTTGCTCACTTCAAATTCCCTGACTTTTCCAGGTTTTCCAGGTTAAAAAACGGAATTTTTCCAGGTTTTTAAAACTACATTTATATTTTACAAAATTGTTAATTCTAACCTTTTTGAAATTAAACAACTTATAAAAAATTGTTATAAAACATGAAAATATCGATCACTCCGAGTCTTCGACTCGGAGCAATCGATATCTTCATGTTTTATAATAATTAAAAATGTTGGACTGATAAAATCATCATTTTATACCTATTCAGGGTTGCTACAATGTCTGGAAACCTGGAAAACCTGGAAATGTCAGGGAATTTTATTTTGTATGGAAAAGTCAGGGAATAGTCAGGGAAAAATGAGAAAACACCTGGAAAATAATTTTCTGTTAAAATTATGTAAAAATAATTTATTTGATAATAAAAAATCAGTCACTGATTTAAATAAAGCATGTAAATAAATTTTAAAAAATTATGGAATCAATAGAAATTTTGTGAAATTCAACTGAAAATAATTAAATTTGTTAAAGAATTTCATTAGAAACTTTTTAACAAATAGAATTTTCAAAGTATTTTAATTTAATAATTGATAAATAATTGAATTTTATAAAGAGTCACATTCTAATGTATTCATGTTATTTAGTTTCAAAATTAATAATTTAAATTTTTATTGGTTAATTTTAAATAAACACACACTTAAATTTTTTTAATAAAATTGGATTTTTGCAAATTTTTTTTGAAAATTTTGAAAAATAAGATTTTTAAATTTTTGTAATTCTATTGTTTCAAGATATTTGAATTTTTATAAACAAAAAATTCAAAATTTTTGAATTAATTGAAATTTCTTTACGTTTAATTTCATTTATTGAAAATAATTTAATTTCTTTTAAAAAATTTTATTTAAATTATATTATTATGTTATTATTCAATAATTATGATTATTAAACTTCTCTTGAATTTTTATAATTTTAAATTTCTGAATGATCAAATAAATGATATTTATTTATTTCTTGAGCAAATTAAATTTTTATTACACAGGATAAAATCAGTCTGACTCCGTTTACACTTTAAATTCAACCTCGAAATTAGGCTGAATGTAAGACTTTTTATTTATTTATTCACTATTAATTATTTTTATTTATTTACTTATTAAATAAATAATTAATTATTATTAGGTACTGCTTAGTATTGTCAAAAATTTTAATAAAATTCTTCGCAAGAATTAAATTATATTCATAAATAATAGCATTCTTTGGAAGGATTTAATTACTTTCATAAAAAATATAGTCAAATTCCTTGCATAAAATCAATTATTATCAATATAATTTTAATAAAATTGAAAAATAAAATTTTCAATTATAATTATAAACAGACATAAATTTCAAGAATAAGCACAATAACTTTAGAAAACAATAATTTTCCAGGATTTTCAATCAAAATTCCCTGACTTTTTCAGGATTTTTTAAGGTTTATAAAAATTCCCTGACATTTCCAGGTTTTCCAGGTTTCCAGGTTGCGTGGCAACCCTGTTTTTCCATAAGGTCCAAGTTCACTTAAGTTATAAACAAATAACGACCTTACGGAAAATACCGTTAAGAAATTGAATATTTTAAAAAGTCTCAAATTATTTTACAATTTTTGAAGACTGTTTGATAAGCTCAAAAATTCAAAAATACCGAGAGTTTCAAAAGTTTAGTTTCGAATTAACAAAAGTTAATAAAGTTAATTTTTCCAATAACTTGAAATTATCAAAAATCGACTGTAATAATAATAATTACTTTACTTACGTGCGTCGTTGTATAAAACTGAAAACTTCTTCGCAATATCATTCAAATTATCCGTAAATTGTTCATAGTATGAATCAGTGAAAATATTGTCTATTCTATTATTTTCAAATAAGTATTGTTGTATTCCTAGAAATGAAAAAAGAAAATTAATATCTGCGATTAATAAAATTGGGGATTTATAAAAGAAACATGTTTAAATCTGTACCTAAACATAAGTAGTATATTGTGTCTGGAGCATATTCGGCACCGTTCGGTTTTCTAACCTCCTGAACGAACAAAACTAACGAATAGTTAAGTTCATCCGCTGTTAGTTGAAGTAAGTCAGTTTTAAACAATTTAACCTTTCGCGTTGGTGTAGCTTGCTTCTCAATTTCGGCATTTTTAGTAATTACCTGCGAAAGCATATTTAATTTATTTGTTTAATTTAACTTTCACTATTTTTAAAATTTCTTTAACTGAATGCAATTCAATGCAGTCATTCCATTATATTTCGACCAAAGTCGTTGCCGATTAATTTTTAAAAATGATAATACTTTGTAGGAATATTATTTTAGGTCTCAAGATTACGAGATGAAAACAGTTTTATCAAAATTCTTGTTATTTATTGCAAAATGTCAAGGTTGGCCCACTTTTTGACTTAAGTTTATAACTTTCTTTTAAAAATGAAGTTGAAGTTGGTTAATTGAAGTATATTGTTGAAAAGTTCTGTTGAATAGGAATACTTTTGCTGAACAGGATAAATTGATTAGTTTTAAAATGAAAAAGTGATAAAGATTTCAAAAAAAAAAATGTATATAGTCAAGGTTGGCCCATGTTTGAAATTCAAAGGGCATTATCGTTAAATATAAAATAACATTTTTAGCGTTACGAAAAATATATCCTTTATTGATACGAGAAGAAAACTTAACAAATGCGGTATAACGGAAAATTATAGAGAAACAAGGTTAAAAAATTTTAAAGCTTAGAATCAATATTTAAAGTCACAATTTTCACCGAAAAAATTACAAATTTTAATCTGTAAATCAGGAAAATCGTTTAAATTAAGCAATATTGCTCATTTTGGAAGTCTTTGGGTCACCGATTACGAAACTACAGTCAGATTTCAAAAATTCAAAATGGCGGATCCAATATGGTGGCTAAATAAAAAAAAAAAAAAATTTAATGATGTCACTATATGTGCTTGATGCTAGGTACTCAGGGATATTTTGGGTCGCTGATTACGAGTCTGAAGTTAATTTTTCAAAATTCAAGATGACCGACCCAAAATGTCCGAATAGAAATGGAAAAATTATTAAAAATCATATTTGCCATAAATAAGAATTTTAATCAAATTCTTTTTATTTCGTGATCTTGAGACCTAAAATAATAGTCCTACAATGTACTATCATTTTTGAAAATTAGTCGGCAACGACTTTGGTCGAAATATAATGAGTTGACTCAATGTAATTTAATGATTAGAAAGTAAATGATGTTTATCATTATCTTTAGCTTACAAGGAAAAAATGTCGTGTAATTATTATCGACAGCGACTTTGATATCTCTAAAGAGTTTAAATGAATTCTAATTTACCCAGTGTCTCCAAGCGTTGACTCCAAATGTGTATTTAAGAGCCATGTTGGCGTCTGGTTTTTCGGTAGGTTCATTGAATCTTGGTGGCTGCGTCGTCTGTTGTTCTGGACGTGGTACGAGAGATACATCGTTGGTGGCCGACGCTCGCCTTCCCCGCTTGCTTGGCGCCGAACGGGGTTTGTAAGAGACCATGCGTTTTCTTCCACGCGTTGAAGAAAGACGTTCGGGAGGTGCTGTGGTATTTCAAGAGGTTATTATCGGTTTTGGAATTTAAATTTATTTAAATGATTTAAATATTTTTAACATCCTACCGTCATTCTCAGTAGGTGTATCGTTCTGTGTCTGGGATTGAGATGGCGTTATTGTGTTTGGAGTTAAGGCAGCTTCCAAATCCACTGCAGGTTCATCCAGTTCACCAGTTGCCATTTTTAAGGCCATTTGGAACATATCCTCGCTAAAGGTATTGTTTGAGTCTACATCTTCCGCCGTGTAACCGTCTGTCTGAGTATTGGAAGGATCTTCTCCAGCTTCATCTCTGAAAAATGTCTTGGTCACTATCGCGAGTTTCAAAGCACTTCAAAGTTAGCGCACCAACAGAATGGTCAGCAGCAGCCTTTCGAAAGTCTGCTACAGATTTTCTATTCTCATTCTCACAAAATCAAAAACATATTATTCGCGAGAGCAATCAATTTATAATAAAACTCACAAAAACAAATAGAAAAAACGTTACTCATCTAAAATATGTTTTAGGCCAATTTTTTAAATTTTGGTACTTTAAGCCAATACTAAATTTTCACCACAGTGTGAATCGTAGTGTTGGACTTCTCAAAGAACTATAAATATCTGATCATTCTGTCTTTCATTCATTCATTCTGTCCGCAATTTGAAGTTAGTTTACGTGTATGATTTAGTCTTTTTATCTTTAAAAAATATTGTTTGACAAATTATGATTTCTCAAATAACAATATTGTTCAAAAACTCATTCTTTTCTTTTTGGAAAAGAAACATTACATCCTCCCGTTTCTTAATATTTTTGAAGAAAAATCACAATTTTCATAAGGAAATAATTTGCATCATTTCTATTTCTTAATTACAATTGTTTTAATAAAATTCAAAGTTTTTGAAAAATAGAAGAAAAAAATGTTTATAAATTCAATTTGTTCATTACAAATTTTAATTGAAAATGAAATTGAAAATGAAATTGAAAATTTCTGAATTTTTAGAAAATAAGGGGAAAAATTTTACTCAAAAAAATGTTCTGTTACATTTTTTTACGAATTTATGTAATTGTAAAATTATTTGAAAACATCAATAACTTCTTTTTTAAATAAATATTTAATTATTATTATTTTTTCATAGGAATTAAGATTTTCAAAAATTTTAAATTCAAACCTTTTTGAAATTCAACAACATATAAAAATATTTGTTATAAAACATGAAGATACTGATTGCTCCGAGTCTTCGACTCGGAGTGGTAGATTTCTCCTTGTTTATAATAATTAAAGATGAACGGGTGAGAAATTTTAAAATCCATTGGTTTACAATTCAATTTTACGAAATTTCGATTATTCGGAAATTCTTCAATTAAATATATATTAGAAACTAAAAATTAAAAACTTGAAATAATTTTCAAAAAAATTTAATTAAACTTTTTCATAAAAATTAATTCAACAGAAAATTCAGTTAAAAATATGAAAAATTCAAAGTTTCAAAGATTTTAATTTGAATTATTCATTAATTAATTATTCAATTATTTAAATACTAAAAAATAATTTATTGAATAATTGAATGTTTCTTAAAATTGAATTCTCATAAAGAATTATTTTATTAACAAATTTTTTAATAATTCAATTCTTTTGACGAATCTTAATAAAATTTGTAAGAATAATTACATTTTTTCAGGAATTCGATTAAAATTTGTATTTCAAATAACTAAAATTCTGCAATGAGTTTTCTTATATTTATGAAAATAATTAAATTATTACGAAGAAATTTATAAAAAAAAAATTGTTAATTGAATTCCTGTAAAATTATTATTATTTTTGAAAAAAATTAAATCTTTGCGTAGAATTTTATAAAAAAAATTTTTAAATAGTTGAATTCTTTTGGAAAATTTTATTAGAATAGTAGATATTGAAAATCATTGAATTGAGGCAATATTTTTGATAATTGAAATTTCGCCAAGATTTTTATTAAAATTTTTGAAAATAATTGAATTTCGGAGAAGAATTTTATTATTTATAAAAATAATTGAAATTTTGACGAGAAGTTTTTCAAATTTTTTAACATAATTAAATTTTTGCGAAAAATTTTATTACTTTTGAAAATAATTAAATTTCTGCAATCATTTGTAACTTTTTCAAAATTTAATGATTATCTAGAATTTTAACTGAAATTTATTTTTAAATCAATATTTCTTAGAAAATTTTACTAGAATTCAATTATTTAAAGACAAAAATAAATAATTTATTCTATAATTGAATGTTACTTAAAATTTTAATTCTCATAAAGAACTTTATCAACTTTATCAACAAAGTTTAAAATAATTGAAAAATAATTTAATTCTTTCGACGAATTTTAATAAAATTTTTAAGAATAATTACACTTTTCGAGGAATTAATGGAGATATTGCTAAGAAATTTAAAACAAATTTATAATTATAATTGAATTCCTGTGAAGTTTTTCTTATTTTATTTATGAAAATAGTTTAATGTTTACGTAGAATTCTATTCAAAATTTGTTTTGAGTAATTGAATTTTTTTTTAAATAATTGAAATTTTGCCAAGAATTTGATTAGTTTTTGAAAATAATTGAATTTCGGAGAAGAATTTAATTATTTCTAAAAATAATAGAAATTTTGACGGGAATTTAAAAAAAAATTTTGAATATAATTGAATTTCTGTGAAGAATTTTATTACTTTTGAAAATAATTGAATTTCCTCAATCATTTGTAATAATTTCTTTAAAATCTTTCAAATTATATCGTATAATTTACGAAGTTTTCGTACTTTTTCAAATAAATTACAGACTTTACGGACCTTTTCTCAAAAAAAAGTGACATTTACGGACTTGAAGCAAATTTACGGACCTAGTTCGAACCCTGTACATACATATAAATAATATAAACCAAAAAACAACAGCAAAATATTTATAAAAACAAGTAAAGAAAAATGAACTCTTCCTGAAAGAATTAAAGGAGAAAAGAAAATAATAATAGAAACTCGTACCTGTTCTCGTCTACAGAGTCAGAGTCACTGTCCGTTGTCTTCTTCTCAGTGGCCACCATCTCCGCCATCATGAGTAGTTCAGCTTCGAAGGGATCTGACGGTATCTTCTCCTGTATCCTCTTAATGTCCTTCATTATACCTTTAGCACTGTTTCTCGTTGTCGGCACGAAGATAGGAACTGGAATGGGAATTGGAATCGGCGTTGGAACCGGGTATGGCATATTGTACATGTACAGTGGGAAAGGTACGTAAATTGGTACAGGAATGGGAATAATTGTTTTGGGAATTTCGTCGGTTTGCGTTTCTTTATTACAAGGATGTGGTCGCACGGAAACACCTTTCGTATGAACAAGCGGTTTGCACTGAGTCGATTTATTGTGGATTTTCACTGGGCTCGTGGGCCTCGTGATCACTTGCTGTTTGTAAATGATTTGCGTTTGACTCGAAACTGTCTGAACGGACAAGGGCGACACCACAGTACTTGGCACGGAATTCGGAGTCGCAGTGCTCACTTGACCATTGCCCATGGTCGCTAAACTCGTCACCGAGGATATCACGGGCATTATCTTCTTCGTCTGAAGGTCGACAGTCTTCACTGGCGTGGGGGCTATCGATCTGGTAGGAATTGTTCTTTTGGGCACCCCCGTGGGCACGGGGTGGTCGTCACTCGATGGTATCGTAATCGGCGACTTTGTGTATTGACCTTGGAAGTTCATAACACAATTGTATGAACAGAAATTGCGAATTGTCGCGTCCGACATTGTCAAATGGTACTGCGCCTGAGAGACCTCCTTGCAGTAGTCGCACTTTATTCTCCTCGCTGAGACTGCATTAATTGAAACCTGCGAGATGAAATTAATTTTTCATTAGCAAGCTTCGCATTCAATAATTTATTTTTAAAAAGTAGCAAAAAGTAAACTTTACAAAATTGACAAAAATTCCATTCTTATATTTTATTTTCCTGATCTCAGTGCTCGAACCAGTGAAAGTATTTAAAAATAAGGACTTGACGGACCAAAAATGAAAAATTACGGACCAATTACTGACAAAAATATAACTAGTCCGAGTCAAATAAGAGAACATTTTACTTAAAACTTCTATAAATTAAATTGTTTTATAATAATTAAAGTTGACCGAGTGATAAAATCACTATTTCATATTATAAGAATATTTTTATTGTAACATCTTCAAAATTATTTTCATCATTTCAATTCATTCATTATTTTCTAGAATTTTTCACTAAAAATCAACTATTTTTAATAATTTTTGAAAAAGCTCTTTGAAAATTTTCAAATCCATTGGTTTACAATTCAATTTTACGAAATTACATCGATTATTTGAAAATTCTTCCATTGTACCTATGTTAAAAAATAAAAACTTAAAATAATTCAAAAAAAAAAAATCCAATTAAACTTTTTCTAAAAAATTAATTTCAAAATTCAATTATTTCTAGAAATTCACGCTATATTGCTTTTAATATTTAATTATAATAAAAATTTTAACTGTAATTAATTTTTAAATCAATTTTTATTAGAAAATTCAACTCGAATTCAATGATTTAAATAGAAAAATAAATAATTTATTTAATAATTGAATGTTTCTTAAAATTCAATTCTCAAAAAGAATTTTATCAACAAATTTTTAAATAATTGTATTTTTAAGAAAAATTATATTTTTCGAGAAATTTGATTAAAATTGTATTAAAAATAATTGTGATCTTTCCCTTATTTTTATCGTAAATAAATTTAATTCTTACGAAGATTTTTACAAAAAACTTTTTAAATAATTGAATTTGTTTAAAAATTTTATGAAAATAGTAGATATTGAAAATCATTGAATTGCGAAAAGTTTTTAAAAATAATTAAATTTTACAAAGAATTCTATAAAAAATTTTTGAAAATAATTGAATATCTGTGTAGCATTTTATTAAATTTCTTTGAAAATAATTGAATTCCTAAAAAGCATTTTATTATTTATGAAAATAATTTAATTCTTGCGAACGATTTTATTAGAATTTTTTAAAATAATTGAATGTTGCAAAGAGTTTTATTAAAATGCCTCAAAATAATTGAATTTTCTGGAATAATTTTGCTATTTATCGAGATAATTAAATTCTTTCGAAGAATTATTCATGTAAATAATTGAATTTTTGGAAAGAATTTTATAAAAATCTTAAAGAATAAATAATTAAATTATTTCAAAAAAATTTAATTAAAATTGTATTTAAAATAATTGACTTCTTTCGAACAATTTTATTAAAATATTTGAAAATACTTTAATTCCTTTGAAAAATTCTAATATTTTTGAAAATAATTGAATTCTTCCAAAGAATTTAAAAAAAATATTTTTTTAAATAATTGACTTTTTCGAGGCCTTGAAATTAAATTTTTAACAATAATTACATTTTTTGAGCAATTCCTGTAAAATTGTATTAAAAATAAATGAAATTCTGGGATGAATTTTTTAAATAATTAATTTTTTCGAAATATAATAAATTTTATTTTAAATAATTGAATTCTTGTGGAAAACTTTATTTCTGAAAATAATTGAATTTTTCGATTAATTCATATAAAATAGTATTAAAAATAATTGAAATTCTTCGATGAATTTTACTATTTATGAAAATAATTGAATTCTTGCTTAGAATTTTATCAATTTTTTTTTTTTTTTAATTCAATAGTCATTAAAAATGTTATTAGGGAAAGTAATTTAATTATTGTGAAAAATTGTATAAAAATTTCGTTAAACAGTTTTTTTCTTAAATTTTTGAGAATAATTACATTTTTCGAGAAATTCCTGTAAAATTGTATTAAAAATAATTGAAATCCTGCGATGAATTTTATTATTTATGAAAACAATTGAATAGTTGCCAAGAATTTTATTAAAATTTTCAAAAATAATTGAATTTTTCGATCAATTTTTTGAGCAATGCCTTTAAAATTGTATTACAAATAAATGAAATTCTGCGATGAATTTTATTATTTATGAAAATAATTGAATAGTTGCAAAGAATTTTATTAAAATTTTCAAAAATAATTGAATTCCTGAGCAGAATTTTATTATATGAAAATAATTGAATTATTGCGAAAAATTGTATTAAAATGTTTTAAAAGAATTGAAGTTATGTTGAAAATTTTGTTATTTTTGGAAATAATTGAATTCTTCGAAAGAATTTTATAAACATTGTTTTAAATAATTAATTTTTTCGAAATATAATAAATGTAATGAAAATGTTATTTTAAATAATTGAATTCTTGTGAAAATCTTTATTTGTAAAAATAATTGAATTTTTCGATTAATTAATTGAAAATAGTATTTAAAATAAGTGAAATTCTTCGATGAAATAATTGAATTTTTGCTTAGAATTTTATAAAAATTGAATTTCCATGAAAAATGTTTTTATTAGTGAAAGTAATTGAATTATTGTAAAGAATGGTATGAAAATTTTGTAAAATAATTGATTACTTTGAAAATACTATTTATACTTAATTAAATTCATGTGGAAATTTTATTGCTTATGAAAATAATTGAATTTTGGATGAATTTTATCAATGTTTTTTTTAAATAATCTAATTGTTTTGCGAAATTTTACGAAAATACTAGATACTAGATACTAGATAATTGAACCGTTTTAAAGAATTTGATTATAAATTTTTCGAATAGTTTTTTGCTTTCTAAAAATTAACGAATTTGAAGTAGTGAAAATTCTCAAAAGTAGGAAAAAGTAGCTTTTAGTGTCACAAATTTAAAAAAAAGTATCCAAATAGTAACTAATCGTAAAAAAAGTAGTAAATAGTAGATTTTTAGTAAATGAGTGCGAAGCCTGCATTAGAAATAGATGCGATAAAAAACGGAGAATTTCTTATCTTATAATCATACTTTACCTGATAGAGCGTTAGACAATTTAAGCTGCACATCATCATGACTGTTCCATTCTTCAATTCCTTCTTAATCATATCAAAATTGTATTTCTTCACTTTACACCAACTGCAAGGTACGATTTTCCGATTGGTGATGATAAATATATTTAAACAGGTTTTCGTACAAAATGTGTGAGCATCATTTTCATAAAAGACAACAAAACTCTTTTTGCTTGGAAGTTCGAAGAATTTTTTACAAGTAGAACACTGATCAGGATCTACTTTATTCACAAATTTAAATGCAGCAAAGCAAGGATCACTGCAAATTGCAACTGGAACAGCTCTGTCTATTTGAACCTCACAATGGACGAGTTTTTCCTTAAAAGAAGAATAACAAACTTTTATTATTAATATAATTAGTGCAAGTTATTTTATTTATTATTTTATTTATTATTATTTATTCGAGACAACAAATTTCGTAAGATTTATTAGTCTTACGAAATTTGTTATCAAAGAATAATTTAATTAAAAAAGTACCTCTTGGCAAACGCTGCAAGCCTTCTTCTCTGCGACTGGTGGCTCGGTTGAGCTCATTCTTGAGTATTTTTCCATGCAGTCCTGGGTGCAAAAGTCCTTAAACTGCCCTTTATCCCCAACAGGTGCTAAAAATCCCTCCGTTCCCGCACTTATGTCCTTTTGGCAATAGGTACAAACTTTCAAACCCTTCTTGAATTCTTCCAAGCACACCGAGCAGCAGAATTGCCTAACGTCATAACCAAATCTCACACAATACTTTCCCAAACTTACTGGCTGAACTGAACCATTACAATTTCTACAGTAACTTCCATACTTTGTCTGAAACTTCCCCAAGCATTCCTCGTTACAAAATTCCATTGTTTCCCAAGAGAGACAGCGCTCGTCATTACTCTCGATTATCAGCAGACAACTTGCACAGCGTTTCTCCCTTTTCGAATTCACCCCGTCGCTTGGAATGTCCATCGCTTTATTGTTTGCTGATTTGAACGCCGATTTACAAGCTTTGGAACAGACGCTAAATAAATCCGTGCCTACTTTCACTTTTATTTTGCAGACCTTAACTTGGTTGCACTGTTTACATGTCTCTTTTGATTGGATTTCCTCAACTTCGACAACTTTTTCCGGCTCGTCCTCAATATCTATCACGTCCGTTATAGACTGGGTGATGGGCGTTGTAGTTTGAATTTTTATTGGTTCCTTGGTAGCGACAGTCTCCGAATCAGTTTCACTAACGGGTTTCTCTTTTGCAGCGACTGGTGTTTTCGTACTTTCGTCAATTTTTTCATCACTTTTCTCAGGGATTTTTTCTGCCTTCTCCGCTTCCTTTGGAGTCTCGGCGTCTTTTGCACTCTCCTCGACGTCCTTCATCGAATCTGGAATTATACACAATTCGTCGTCCTGACCAGGTAGAACCGTAGTTTCTGTTTCTATATTCGTTGTCTTTTCCTTCTCCTTCTCCTTTTCTTTTTCTTTTTCTTTCTCTTTTTCTTCCGCGTCTTCCGCTGTCTTGGACTCGGGCTCTTTTTCCGCTGGTTTATCATTTTCGTTAACAGTCAAATTCTCCGTATCCTCACTGATGACATCTGATGAAGGAACAGCACTTTTTTCCTCAACTGCTTTTTCTTTCTCCTCATTGCAAATGGTTTCATTTTCCGTTTCCTTAGTTGCAATCACGTCTTGCAAATTGTCCACCTGATTGCCCATTTTTTCGAAATTTTCCTTACTCTTCGAAATGGCGTCAGTCTCGTTTTGTTCGGAATTTTCAGTGATTAGATTATCGCCTCCAAATGGATCTTCCGCGTCCATTATTGAATGATTTTCAATCTGTGAATCATCTTGTTTGTCCTGGCTGATAATTTGTACGAATTCGGTATTCACCTGTTCGTGAGAACTCTTTGCTTCCTTTTCACTTGAATCTTGATTTACCGGCGATTTGTCATTCGATTTTTCCGCATTTGAATCGTCGTTTTCAATTTCAGGATCGATGTCCTTATTAGTAGACACTTCCATTGGTGAATCAGCATTTGAATTTTCAGGCGCTTCACTAGTTTTACCCTCCTTTTCATCTACATTACTATCCAAATTATTTTCCTTCGTGTTGATTCTAGTCTCATCGAGTGCATCATCCGACAAACAGACATCGTCTGCATTTGGAATTGATTCCGAGTCGCTTTTCTTCGTTTGTTGATCGAGAGGATCTTGCGAGTCCATGTCCGATATTCCATCCAAATCTTTAGAAATAGTATCGCCCTCTTCATTCGGTGTTTTCGGTAAATTTTCTTGTTCCATTGGTTCAGAGTCAATTTGCATTGTTTCTACTTCAGGATGAGAATCCACGGTCGTACATTTATCCGTATCATCATTCGGGTCTTCACAAACTTGAGATTCTTTTGTTTTTTCTTCTTCTTCTTCAGATTGTTCCGGAATATTTGCACTTTCGGCATTTGGTGAATCTTTGTCATCGTCCTTATTTTCTGAAACTATTTCACTACTCTTGGGGGCATCAGAGTCCTGCAATATTTCAGTGGTTTCTTTATCCGATTCGACATTCTTTTCATCGAGTTTATTTGTGTCTTGATCGCTATCGACGTTGCGCTTATCTTCTTCTGTCGGGACTTCCGCATCAGCTCCTCGTGTTTCGTTCTCAGAATCCATTATTAAATGAGTGAACGATTCTCAATTGTTTAGCTAGAACAAAAACTATAAGTTAATTACATTTTTTATTCTTTTAACTACACTTTTTGCACACAAAGTTACTAAACATGAAAATTATTTTTTCTTCTAAATCATTGTAAACGTCACCAACGTTCTAAATTGTGAATATAAAATGAACATTTTTAAAAAAATTATCAGGGCTCGAACCAGTGACATTTTAAAAATACGTACTTTACGGACCAAAAATGAAAAATTACGGACCATTTATGAACAAAAATATAACCAGTCCGAGTCAAATAAGAAAACATTTTACTTAAAACTAGAAATTAAATTTTTCATAACTATAAAACATGAAGATATCGATAACTCCGAGTCTTCGACTCGGAGTCATCGAATTCTTCATGTTTTATAATAATTAAAGATAACCGAATGATAAAATCAATTTACAATTCAATGATTATTTTCAACAATTATTAGGGGAGAGTGGGGCAAACAAGCCATCGAAAAATGAATTCGGTTGATTCGTTTAGTCACAAGAGTCAAAAAAACCGTTAGTATGGCCGGTTTGCCCCACTCTCCACTAACTAAAATTCTTCTTTAAATCAATTTTACGAAATTTAAATTATTCGTAAATTTTTCAATTGTAAATATATATATATTAGAAAATAAAAACTTCAAATAATATAAAAAAATTGAATTAAAATATTTCAAAAAAATGAATTTCAAAATTCATGAATAAAAATTATTGCTATAAAAATTCATGCTATATTGCTTTTAATATTCAATTATTATCTAAAATTTTAACTGAAATTAATTTTTAAATAAATTTTTATTAAAATTTAATTATTTTCATACAAAAATAAATAATTTATTGAATTATTGAATGTTTCTTAAAATTTAATTCAATTAAATCCCAGTAAAAAATTTATTATTTATGAAAATAAATAAAATTGAATTATTGCGAAGAAATTTATAAAAAATTTGAAAATAATTGAATTCCTGTTACATGTTTATTATTTCATGAAAATAATTAATTTTTTTAAAAATCTTTTTGAAAATAATTGAAGTTTTGCCAAGAATTTTATTAAAATTAAAAAAAAATTTTTAAAATAATAGAATTTTGGAGAAGAATTTTATTATTTATAAAGATAATTGAAATTTTGACGAGAATTTTTTTTAATTTTCGAACATAACTGAATTTCTGGGAAGAATTATTACTAATAATTGGAAGTAGTTTCACTGGCGGATCCTTATGGTAATATTTTAACCCTTTAATGTCAAAAACTTTTTTTTTTATTCAAATTTTATGAAACTTGGTACCGAAAAATTTAAATTTCATAGATCTTTATAAAACTTGATTTTTAGGGGTTTTTAGGGTGGCTGACTACGAATCTGATTAACAAAAATTCGAAAAACCGAATTTCTTAAAATTCAATATTTTTTCTTCTCTTTTATGGCATTTAGCTTCACTATTTTTGGGCTCTTTAAAAACACTTTACTTATTTAATAGTCTTCACCCTTTGGTAAAAAATCTAAAATTATCTAATATTTATCAAAAATTCGAAAAACCGAGTTTCTTAAAATTCAACATTTTTACTTCTCTTTTATGGCATTTAGCTTCATTATTTTTGTGCTTTTGGAAAATACTTTACTTATTTAATAGTCTTGACTCTTTGGTAAAAAATCTAAAATTATGAAAAATTATCAAAAATTCGAAAAACCGAGTTTCTTAAAATTCAACATTTTTTCTTCTCTTTTATGGCATTTAGTTTCCTTGTTTTTGTGCTCTTCAAAAACACTTCACTTATTTAATAGTCTTGACTCATTGGTAAAAAATCTAAAATTATGAAAAATTATCAAAAATTCGAAAAACCGAATTTCTTAAAATTCAACATTTTTTCTTCTCTTTTATGGCATTTAGCTTCATTATTTTTGTGCTCTTCAAAAACACTTCACTTATTAATTTGTCTCCACCCATTGGTAAAAAATTTTAAATTATTAAAAATTATCAAAAATTCGACAAATCGAATTTTTACAGATGGTTATACACTTACAGAATATTAATCAAAAAAATATTCATGATTGTAAGTAATAAAATTTGTAAAGTCTTTAAAGTAGGCACTGTTTTAAAATAGATTTACTATGTTCTTTCAGTGAACCAGGGTTGCCACAAAAATTTAATTTTGTTTTTCCCTGATTTTCAGGCAGAATTTTGACATTTTCCTTTACCCTAAAAAATATTCTGATTCACTCTCAAAATTCAAACCTTTTGAAATTGAATAATTTGTAAGAATATTATTACTGTAACTTCTTCAAAATTACTTTTATCATTAAATTCAATTTAATTATTATTTTCTAGACTTGTTAACTAAAATTTCTCTAAAATTTAAATTCAAATTCGAGAATTTCATATCAAAATAATTAATACCAAAAGAGATTTTTTATTGCTTTTTTACTGGTATCATCACCCTATATTGAAAAAAATTTATTTAAATTAAGTAATCGGTTACAATATTTTGTTTTAAATACAACAATCATAAATTTGAATACAATTTAATACAAATAAATATCATAAAGATTCTAGTAAATATTTGTTTAATAAGTTTTTTTGAGCCTTAACTAGTTTATAAAATGAACCTTATTTATTAAACTGTAGACCGAAATAAAAAAAATAAAAATAAAGATGAAAAAAATAAAAAATTATACAATTTTATATAACATAATTTTGGTTGTAAACAAAATAGTGAAAATATAAGTGTTATAATATGGATAATGTTAAAATATGAAAATAAAATTCAAAATAAATTACAAAAATGGAATTATTATTTAAAATTCAAATATAGCGTCCATGTGACTTTTTTCATTTCGTATTTTAAAAATTATGCTACAAATTCTATAATTATTAAATGTAATTACAATTTACGCGGAAGTACGAAATATTATTGAACATTATAAAAGATAAATTAACAAATCTTATAATTACAAATATAACACATATCTCACATTTTTTCAAAACATTGTCTGTATACATATGTTAAAAATTCCATAAATTTGTTTTCTCACAAATAAAAAATTATAGAAAAGAATGATTCACAATTAAAAAAATTTTTCTCAAACTTGAACTGTAAAAAAAATAAATTTATGTGCAACCGATGGATAGAAGCTAAACACAAGCACTAAAAAGAGGTTATGCTCAGCAATAAGTTGAAACTTGCGAACCGCCATTTTGCATTAGTTACAATTTTTTTTTCGTATAAATACTAACCATTAAATAACAATTATTAAAAATATTGCATTTGCTTAAAAATAATATATTTCTAATAAATATGAAGAATGTGAAAAAAACATTAAAATGAAATAAAGCTTCAATCATAGGAAATAAAAGAGATAAACTGAAATAGCGCGCTAAACACCGGTATCCTTCCAATTATGAATTCATGCAATTTTTAAATTTCTTAGTCACACTTATTTAAATTACCTGCAATCACCAGTATTCAAGTAGACTACGTTTTTATCAACAAAAGAAAAACTACATTCTCAGAGTCATTTTATAATTATAAATAACTGATTAATTAGGCGGACTTATAACAATACAGCACAAAGCAATGCAAGTTTTACCATAGCATTACAATTATATAGAAAGGATCACTCGGATGGTGAATATTTGTTGAAGGTGCATTTACACCTCTGTTTGGTTTTAAAAACGATTTCCGTTGGAATTATTGGCACGAACTATAAAAAATATAGAAAGTGGGCATGAGCACAACTGTACATTCTGATGGAGCGTTTACGCCTTCTGTAAAGCTGAGTCCAGAATGAGAGAGTCTGTGCACCGATGTTCATAGCTATAGGTATACTACAGCATGCTTTAGTATATCTATAGATATGAACATCGGTGCGCTCCCTCTCTCATTCTGGACTCAGCTTAAAAATTGTCCAGAAAGGAAAATTTGCATTGGAGTAAGAGAGGAAGAAACACAGTCTGTCTCTCTTACTCCAATAAAAAAATTTTCCGTTCTGCAAATTTTTACCGAAGGTGTAAATGCTTCCTGATGCTTTAATGCTGTCCTTCCGGTTTGACGGCGATTTAAAAAGTCGTGGCGAATCTTTCAAAACGTTGTTAGTTAGTGACGTATGAACAAACGATCCGAAATCATATGAAACTGACCCATCCCTGTACCCACTTGCGACATCTTGGTTTTTTTTTATTTCTTTTTTGTACATATGTTAGAGAGAAACGAAATGAAAAGATGGCTACCACTGCCTGTAAAGGCCAACGCAGAATAGATCTGTAACCGGAACCGCAATCGTAACCGTAAGCGTAAGAATGAGTTAGAGAAGGATAAACAATATACCTATCCTTCTTTAACTCATTCTTACGGTTACGCTTACGATTGCGGTTCCGGTTACAGATCTATTCTGCGTTGGCCTTAAAAGCAGCTATTTAAGGTCTTTCTCCAATAGGATCAAGCTTATTTTGCAAACACACTGCGTGGGTTACTATTGCAACATATGCTTAAGAACAACGCAACAAGTTTGCGCATAGAGTTATTAGAATAGAGTGCGCGAGTTATACCTTTTACCGTGAGAGGCATTCTTAGGCGCATAGAAAGAGACAAAAGCATGAAAGTAGACCCCTTTTCTTACCTTGTTTATTGGCGCATGTGCAAGAATGAAAGTTTTTGGTTAGGTTTTTGTCTAAAAAGATCGCATGAAAAATTGTTTTAAATATTATAAATGTTTTATTTTAATTTTAAATTTATTTTAAATTATTTATTTGTCATGTAAATAAAAGAAAAATATAATTGCAAGCAAGCAACAGTTGTTTCGATGGATCAGCTGTTTCACTATCGCACATGCGTTATTAGAGAAAGAAAGGAAAGGGGTCTTCTTTTCGTATGGCTGTCTCCGTCTATGCGCCTAAGAAACATTTTGGTCGCTTGCGCACTCTATTCTAATAACTCTATGAGTTTGCGAAATACGCTTTTTAATCCTATTGGATAAAGGCCTTTAAGATTGTTCCAGAATGAAGTGTTGTTTAAATGCTTGCGTTTGAACTCTGCATTTAGCGTTGAATAATGAGAGAGAGGAAGAAAGACATATACGTCTATCCTTGTTACACTCACTGCTCAACGTAAAACTCAGCGTTCGAACGCAAGCATATAAACAAGCTATTGCAGAAACACCTTTACTGTGTGAAGTTTTTGGTAAATTTTTTTTCTGTCGACTGTCTCAGGGTACGTTCACACGACTTTTGGAAAAACCATTCTTGTCTTTCTCTCTCCTATGGCAGAGGCATAAGTTTGTCTCACTCTACATTTTCTTACTTTTTACAAAAACAGAAAATACAGAGTGAGGCAAACTTATTCTTCTGTCATAGGAGAGAGAAAGACAAGAATGGTTTTTCCAAAACTCGTGTGAACGTACCCTTATAAATGCACCCTAAGGGTACAGTCACACGCCTTTTGCAAAAAATCATTATTGTCTTTCTTTCTCCTATAACTGAGTCATAAGTTTGTCTCACTCTACATTTTCTAACTTTTTTAAAAAACGGAAAATGCAGAGTGAGACAAACTCATGCCTCTGTCATAGGAGAGAGAAAGACAAAAATAGTTTTTTTAGAAGTCGTGTGAATGCACCCTAATGTAAGCAGAAAGTATGTACCCAACCCTGATCCCAACCCAACACATTTCATATTTCAGATGTTCCACTATATACTTTAGATTATATCCTGAAAAAGCTGAGAAAAGCTTTCAATCTTTTTAGTTGGCAGGATATGTCAAAATTTTTGTGATGTCGATGTTGAGGGTTAGTTAATATTAAAGTAAAATTATAATTTTTATTAATAAATGCATGTTTTACAAAATTTACTATACAATCTCTATTTATGAAGATTCATTATATTATACTAAATAAGAGAATTGTAAACAATTCCCCCTAATTTGAGGTTGTCAAGTTTCGAAATTTTGTTTGTTTTACACTTTGACTATATTAATTTTTTTTAAATGTATGCTCTCAATGGGATTTAAAAAAATAATTTTTAAGTATTTGACAAAACTTTTCAAGAAAATTTTTTTACTAATCACAAAAATTGTAATTTTAAATAAACTACTCAGAAAGATAAATTATGGAGTAAAAATCTCATTTTTAAGGAAATTTGTTATAAATCTTTAAAAATTGTTATTATTTAAATGCTAATTTATAAGTTTAATTTAGAATTAATAACCAATAGGAATTTTAAATACATAATTAAAAATTATTTGAAAAAATAAACTTTGTAATGAATAGGTTATTAACCTCTTAAAAATTCGTTTTTCCGTGTAAATTTTTAATTATTTGAAATATATTTTTTTTATTTTATTGTTATATTATAAAGAGTATAAGTACTTTTTATTATTATACTGCAGATTTTTTTATTTTTAAATAATTTAACAAAAATTTTTTCTTAAATTATTAATTTCTATCTGTGGACAGTTTAAACATTAATTTATACATTAAAAAAGAATAGAATAGACAAATAATTAAAGTGCAAATTAAAAAACTTTTACTAATAAGTGCATTAACGGTAGATTAATTAAATTAAATCTTTATTTTCTCTTTTGTCTTGTTCTCATTATTGTTCATCTAAAGGTTATGTTATTGTTTATCTAAACATAATAATACACATAAGTGACAGCGTCGACATTAAAATTTGTTCGTAAAAATCCAAGTAAACTCATTTATACAAATTTCTGTAAAACTCTTTCTACTCAATTTCTCTTTTAAACTTGTTTTTAGTAAAAATTAGAATAACAAAATAGCCTCAATTTTCACTTATAATGAAACCCTATTGAATAACAAAAGAAGTCAATGTTCAGGGTGTCTACTAACCGGGAATTCCGGGAAAACCGGGAAATAACCGGGAATTTTATTTGACCGGGAAAAACCGGGAATTAGCCGGGAATTTTATACCGAACCGGGAATTTTTTCACAAAAATTAAAAAAGTTTTATTATTTTAATTTGCTTTTAAAAAATCAATCTTTATTTCAATTTTTATATATATTTATACTGTTCTCTAAATTTAAGTTAGTTAAAAATAATTAATTTGATGATAAAAAATCAGTTACCAATTCAAATATATTATGTAAATAAATTTAAAAAAAATTATGGAGTTAATAGAAATATTGTGAAATTCGACTGAAAATATGTAATTAAATTTGTTAAAGAAATTCATTAGAAACTTTTTAACAAATAGAATTTTCAAAGTAGGTATTTTAATTTAATAATTGATTAATAATTGAATATTATAAAGAGTAAAATTCTAATGTATTCATGTTTCTTACTGCGAAGATTAATAATTAAAATTTTTATTAGTTATTTTAAAAAAATATACATACTTAAAATTGTTTAATAAAATTGAACTTTCGCAAAATTTTTTTTAAATCTAAAAAATAAAATTGTTGTAATTTTTCAATTCTATTGTTTCAAGATAATTGAATTTTTCTAAACAAATCATTGAAATTTTTTTACTTTTTTTGAAAAATAATTGAATTTTTTTAAAGAATTTTATTTAAATTTTTCGAAAATAATCAAGGGAAGTTAGTGACCATAATTATAATTTTATTTTTAAAATTTTAAGTCCCTCTTACAGTTTTAAATCAATTTTTTGCTTCTAAAAATTATGCTATTCTATTATTATTTAATAATTATAATTATTGAACTTCTCTTAAATTTTTATCATTTTAAATTTCTGAATGTTCAAATAAATGATATTTATTTATTGGGTCAAAATAAGTGAAACCGGCCACTTGAAAAATTTTTATCTCCAATTTTCAAGTTATCTATGATTTTTAGTAGATATATTAGTACACTTTTTCCCCCTAAAATATTTTTCAAAAAAAAATTTTATTTTTGAAGTAATTAGGTATTGAAGTTTTAGGTCATTTTATTTTCATTTTATTATTACTTTGAAACAAATAAAGATAATTAAGTAATTTTTTTTTTAAATTAAAGCTTAAAGTCTATACTTTAAAGATGAAATAAAGCGATTGCTAAAAAATGAAAATTTATAATTGTTATTAACAATTCTTTTAAACAATTGCAAATTGAAGATGTTCTCAATGTTTTTGAAAGATTAAATTACGATATATTGATGCGCAAAACTATAAGGATTCATTTAAAAAAAAGAAAAATGAGTAACCTCCAATATTATAGAAATTGTGTAGATTTTTCTGCCAAAATGCAGGCCAAAATCGATTTTTAATCTTAAAAATCCGCTTGAAAGCGTGAAGTTTCTAACAAAACAAAAGAAGATCTTATTTATTCGTTTGCAATTTTATCTTTTTCTAGGAACTTGAGTCAATTTTTGCTTGCATTTTGTCAGCAAAATTTACATAATTTCTATAATATTGGAAGTTACTCATTTTTCTTTTTTTTAAATGAATCCTTATAGTTTTGCGCATCAATATATCGTAATTTAATCTTTCAAAAACATTGAGAACATTCTTCAATTTGCAATTGTTTAAAAGAATTGTTAATAACAATTATAAATTTTCATTTTTTAGCAATCGCTTTATTTCATCTTTAAAGTATAGACTTTAAGCTTTAATTTAAAAAAAAAATTACTTAATTATCTTTATTTGTTTCAAAGTAATAATAAAATGAAAATAAAATGACCTAAAACTTCAATACCTAATTACTTCAAAAATAAAATTTTTTTTTGAAAAATATTTTAGGGGGAAAAAGTGTACTCATATATCTACTAAAAATCATAGATAACTTGAAAATTGGAGATAAAAATTTTTCAAGTGGCCGGTTTCACTTATTTTGACCCTATTCCTTGAGCAAATTAAATGTTTATTACATATTAAGTAAATAATTAGTTATTGCTGCTTATTGTTTTCAAAAATTTTAATAAAATTCTTCACAAAAATTAAATTATTTTCATAAATAATAGCATTCTTTGGAAGGATTCAATTATTTTTATAAATAGTAAAATTCTTTGCAGAAGTTCAATTATTATCAATGTAATTTTAATAAAATTGAAAAATACATTTTTCAATCATAATTATAAAGAGACAAGATTGTTTTTAAAACCTTGAAAAAATTCTTTGTTTAATTCAAGTATTTTCCAAGTTTTTAATTAAAATTATTGGAAAAAACATTATTTTCAAAAAATTTAATGATTTATTTATGTTTGAAATCAAATTTAAATTTAAATTTGATAAGAAAAAAAAACCGGGAAAAAATTAGGATATAGCCGGGAAAAACCGGGAAATAACCGGGAATTTTGTTAAACGAAAATAGTAGACACCCTGAATGTTATTGTGAATAGGTTAATAAGGTTAAAAAAATTTGATTTATTTTTGTTATCATTAATTTAGGTTCAAGTTTACCGTAAAATTTTATGTTTATTTAGAAATAGTTTTATACCTTATGTAATTTTAAATTTTCTTTGTCGTTGTTACATTAAAAAATTTGCTTTCTTGAAAATACTTTATTTTTTAAAAAGCATAATTTTTTAACAGTTTTTCTTTAAATTCAATTATTTGAACAATTCGTATAGAAAACGCTAAGATAACAGATAACAGCAACTTGAATGTAAGATATTTTTGATTAAATAATTGAACTTTCCAGTAATAAGTTTATTCTAAACTTTTTTAAAATTCAATTATTTTCTAAATTTTCGAATTAGAATTCTTCAAAAATACGATTATATTTTAAAATAATTTTCAAAAGTAAACAAATAAAATTCGTTAAAATATAAAATTTTAACTGAAATTTTTTTTTAAATCAATTGTCGTCAGAATTCAACGACGAGAATTTAATTATTTAAATAGAATAATTTTTGTAAATTCATAAAATAATGTATTTTCAAAAATACAATTATATTTATAGATGTTTAAAGATGAAAAAATAAAATTATTTAAAATATAAAATTTTACAAAATTGCCGATTGATTCATTTTTTTAAAAATTATTTTCGGGAATTCAAGTATATCTTCAAAAAATTTTAATTAGTATTTTTTAAAAAGCTAATTTTTTTCAAAATTTCTAAATTAAATCTTTAAACCTATTGTTTCTTTATTTGCTTTAAGCATCTTAAAATTTCGAATAATACATTCAATGTAAAACCATTGGAAAAATTGTTTATGAAAATTTGAACTCCAAGTCTTCCAAAATTCAATAATTTTTTTAGAATGTTTAAATAATATTATTCAAAACTTTTAATTTTTAAGGAAGCTAAAAAATTTAGAATTTTTTATATTTAGATATTATGATACTTTTACAACAATTAGAATTTCAAAGATTGAAATTTAAAAACTTTTTGATATTTAATTACTTCTAAAGAATTCAACTTTAACACTTTTAATTATTTTCTAAAGTTTGTACTAAAATTCTTTTTTAAATAAATTCTTGGCAGAATTCAATTATTTAAATACGAAAATCAATAATTTATAAAATAATTAATTATTTTTAAAAATTGCAATTGTACCTTTTTATTGAGTTTTTGAAATTGGACCTAAATTTTCTCACTTCACTTATTTTTTTATTTACAAATTAACTGTTAAACTTTTGACATAACAATTCGAAGTATAAAACAAAAAAATTGGAATAAAACAACACTAACTTTACGTGAAGACTGAGTATGTCGATTATTATAATATAATTTTTAAATATTCCTGATTATAATTAAAAATTGAAACTTTGGGTGTTTCTTGTTTTAAAAGTAAGCATTTAATTAATATTTTTTTTTGAAAAATCAGCAACCGTTTTAAACAAAACTTTTTTTATTCAATTCTTCAATTTTTTCAATTTCTTCAATCGAAGGAGCTGTAACGCGTTGTAGTCAATGTTTTCGCTTAGTAAAAGTTTTCGGTCTTTGAGCCTAACGTATATAGACTTTTAGGTTTTTAATTTCAATTGATGTAATCATAATATTCTGCGTTGTAACAAAATTTGAATTCCACAGGAGCGAGGGCAGTATGCATTTGAAGAAAAGTGGCCTTGTATGCGTCCTATTATATTGAAATTGCTGAAACAAGAGCCTGTAACTCAGGGAGAATGGCACGATTTATTTTATTCTGTCCAAGTATGCCTTTGGGACGAAAAAGGACCCGCAAAATTGTGCGATGCCCTCAAGGAGGATATAATGGATTTTATAAAACAGGCTCAACAGGTATTCTTTACTTTTTAATTACATTCAATATACTTCAATGAGGATTGGAACTAATTATTTTCAAATTTTACATTTTTTATTGGACGGTTTTTAAACTTTCTAAAGTCGAATATTACATGTTATTTAGTCATATTATAGCACAATTTTGCAAAAATTTCTATCCTATAATTGAAATATGTATAAAAATGTTTTCGGTATTAAAAAATCGAAAAAATTATAACTGTTATGAACTACTATCAGGCTTAATTCAGTGAGTGGTATTTTTGACGTCTCTGCTTAAGGGGGGAAACCACATTAGGTGGCTTATTTTTATGGATTTTTAAAAATTTTTTGGGGGGGGGAAATATAAATTAAAATTCAATTACATTTAGGCATCTTTTTATTAGTGTTTTGAACAATGTTTATAAATTCTTTTGATTTATTGTAACCAGAAATAAGGCAGATATGCTGTCGTAACCACTGATGGTCCTGATATTTTTTCTCGACTTGCGTGACGTGTAGCAATTTTTATTTTTAACTAAAATTTAAAAAAAAAATTCTTACATTCTTAACTTATTTTCTAAGAATATGAACCTCATTTTAGGTAAAAATAATAAAAATTTTTAATTTTGAAGGCGTTTGAAATTTTTTCTTGAATTTTCACAATTTTTTTTTACACTAATTACACAAAAAAACATCCTTAAAATCGTGATATCACCTTAAATGGTGGTTCATATTCTTTGTAATTTTATAAAGAATAAAACTTCCTAATCTCATTATAATCGGTAAATATTTGTTTAAGTTAGACTGCACGCAATCATAAAAAATGTGATTTTGAGAAAAACGCATTTAAAGTTTCAATTTATTTTTTTTTGTTCAGCAGAAATTTTTTTTAAAGTCACAAAGAGTCATATAATAATAGAAAAAATAATAAAAAATTTCTAAATATATATACTTTAAGAAAATGAAAAAAATAAAAAATAAATTTTTTGAAAGTTACAATTAGGTTTCGCCCCTTAAGGGGATGTCAAAGTCGATTGGATTTTTGCATTGAGCTTCAATGGGAAAATCGCATCGACTTTGACATCCCCTTAAGAAATTTACTTCAGAATCTCCAGTAACAAGTTTCAAGGGAATTTAAACACTTTTAACAATTTCATACTTTCGGGTGAAATTTTGCAAAAAAATTTAAATCTCAGACTTCATTTTTGAGCCGCCATTTTAATTTTTAATTTTCTCTATAGTCCTATTTTGTAGCTTATGTATTTTTGTCACGTTATTTGTAACATTTGAAATTATTTTTCTGCTATTTTGTAGTAAAAAAATAGGCAATTAACCAAAAATTTGAGAAAAATCGGACTTCATGCCAAAATTTTGTACATTTGGGTGTTAAAGGGTTAAAAAACTGTTTTGGAACAGTAATTTTATGATACTGAGGAACCTTTTAATTTAAAAGGTTAATTATTATTTATGCATTTTTATATTTATATTTATTTAAAAAAATTTTTAATCACCAACAAATACATAAAAATCAATCTCAAACTGCTTAAAAATAATAATAATAATGCTTAAAAAAAGATCTTTCTTTTTTTACTTTAATAAAGTAAAAAAAGAAAGATGAATTGTTTTGGAATCTTTAAGCAAAAAATTCTTTAATTATTATTCATTTCTTTATATTCTTTTTGATGAATATTTTTTAAATAGTAATAAAAAATATGAATTTAAAAAAAAACTAACTCTAGAAAAATATGTCACGTTTGTGTAGTTTATTTCACAGAAATTATTGTTTTTTGGAACAATTTTTTAATAACCAACAAATACATAAGAATCTTAATCTCAAAATAAAAAAATAAAGAAGTTACATTATGATGTATATTACTTCTCATACTTTATTACATTTTCCTTGATAAAACAAATATTTCATGACTGAAAAAATTATTTCTTTTCATTTTTTAAAACAATAATGATAAAATAAAAGTGGAAAATATGTTTTAAAAATTACTAAAGAATTTAATACATATTTATAAGTTGAGTAAAAAAATATTTCAATTTTAAATATTTAAAATAATTATTAAAATTATTAATACAAAGTGTTGCTTGTTAATAACAATTAACTAACGATTTAACAATCGTTAGTTTAACAAATTGTCTTGAGAGAAATAACACAAAATGGAAAATATAACGCTTACGATTGCAAGTCCAACAAACTTTCAGTTTCTCTCTGTTTGCCACTATATCACAAGTTTTAGCATTTTCTTTTATAATCAGAACTTAATTGCAGTGGATGAACGGAATAATTCTGTGTCTGTCTTGAATACATTTTTTGAATATCTCAACAATTCTAAAAATGAGACTGAAGCGAAACTTCATCTTCTCAAAGTAGCGCTAAATAGAAGTGATCTCTATGGTGGAGGCGCACATGAAACACTTGACATAAAATACGTAAACGAATCCTATCACTACATCATTAGCACAGCTCTATTTTTTCACTATGGTGGTCTCTATCTGTATCTGTCAGATATAATAGTGGAAGCAGAAAATTTAAGCTATTCCGCCTTTAAAGAAATAGTTTTTCAACATTTTTCGAAAAATTACACGGCGTTTAATTATTGTTCGACTGAATTCGAGAGCACCAATCTTACTTCTATGGCAATTGAAAAAATATTTTATGACAATATTTGGTCAATGTTTCCCGAGTCAGATAGAAATATGCAAATAATAGACGTGGATTACATGCTTGCAATGATTGGTTTAAAAATCGCTCGTTCTGTTCAAGCTAATGCTGTAAATCTATCTTTTAACAGTTATATTCATCTTGCACGAGAAATTGAAACACAAATTTCTGATAAAAAAGCATATAAATTAATTCTGGAATTATTAAAAGCACCGGTATTATTTTATGAAGCTTATGGAATAAACCCAATGAACCAAATAGAAGGAGATGAATTCGAGGATGAAAAGGAAATGTATCAAAATATTTTAAATTTATTTAATTTCGATACAATAAATATTCAGAAGACAGAAATTCATTACCAATTGGAAAGTGAACTACAACAACTTAAAAATCGAACATTTATCGCCACTGAAATACTGAAAATAGCTTGTCAATATAATTCGAGTAATGCTCAAGTTTCTCCATTTTATGTATCTTTGTACAAAACTTCTCAATGGTTGTTGAAATTTATTCTACCTGAACATTGTCTAAAACATGATCTTCCTGATTTAGAAGTAGTTTATAACTCTCAGTTTAATCCCATAGAGACGATGTCTAATGAAATTGAAAAAAAATCATTAATGCAGATCTTTCTAGTTGGAAGGATGAAAGATAAAATGGGTTTAAATTCAACTGTAATGTTTGCAAATGTGCTTAAAAATGATAAAAGTTGTTCCTCCTGTGTACTATCGGCTAAAAACATTAACAGTGACATATATCTTGTGTTCGGAATAATTGAAAACGAGAAAACAGATTTTTATGCCATTCGGAAGACAAATGGTATTACTTTGACAATACTTACAAACAGTCGAAACGAACAAGAATTCGCCAGAGCAATTGCTAACGAATCCTCTGTACTAATGAACATTTCCACAGTTCCCCAAATTCTTAAAAACCGTAACGAAAATTACAAAGCGTTTATTCAAAGGGTAGCGGATATTAAGAGTAATGAGTTTGTAAAAGGTCTAATATCTTATTACAGAAATCCAACAAGAGTGGAGAAAAAAATTGATTTTCTAAAATCTATGATGAAATTTAATACCTGTTTGGAGAGTAATAAATCCGGAAATATAGGAGGAATTTTATTAAGTTGCAGTCTAGATGCTCTTAGTCTGCTTCCTGTTAGAATTGCTGGAAGAAATATTCACATATCTTGGAATAATTTTATTGCTGGACTAGTACAACTTTATTCGTTTATTTCAAAATCAGTTCATCATAGTAGATTGCCGATTAATGCTGAAATAAGTCAGAGTCATAAAGCAGAAATTGAAGAAGATTTCACTAACCATTTTCTAAAAGAGATGAAATCTTCTGACCCCCTAGAAATTTTGGACGTTGGTTTCGAACTATCTTTCCCAGCCTGTGGATCCACTAATCAGCTACTTCGAAAAATGATTCAGAACACTTCTTCTAACTTAAAAAACATACCGGAAATTCAAAATTTTCTACAGTCAGTTAAATTGACATCAAATATTATCAAGAATACTAGACTGGTTGCCGACAACACGGGATTGATACCAAGAGTTTATGCAGAGAAAAATAATGTTAAAATTGTCAGATACTTTTATCCTGGAGGAATGAACTACTTTGGACCAAAGTGTATTTTATCATTTGGGAAAATTTCTGAATTGAGAACGGTCGAAGGCTTTGAACATCGATTACCTGTTATACTAATAGGACGCGAAGGATATTCATTTACATATCAGCTTTACATTGCGAAGACTGGTGAAATTATTAATGGAACACTTAAAATAGGAAGTGACGACATTCTCCGACAAGTTGATCATTTCATTGATCAAGATTTAATAAGAAAAATATATAACAGGGAATAACGCAAGTAACTTAATTATTAAGACGCAGGGCTCGAACTAGGTCCATAAATCCCGTAGAGGTCCATAAATTTTATAACAGATCTTTTATTAGTAACAACTAACTTGTATCGACCGTTTAATGATACACAAAAACCTTAAATTATCTGAGAGGAGATTCCGCTTCGGACTTATAAACCGACGGATACAAACGTCGGCGAAACAAGACACGATGAAACTTGGACACAACGATTTACCAACGGCGACTCTTACAAACACAAATCCGACGACACAAACAATAAATAAATAAACTCATAAAACACAAAAGATTCACTTAAACAATTGGCAATTTATTGAAACCGAAACTCAAATACAAAACTGACTCTAAAACCCTGAGGTTTCCAAAAGTGGAAATCCAGAGTAAAACTCAACCTAATAATTTACATGGCCCACGAGCTACTGAAGAATGAATTTCACGTTGACCGGCTTCTTCCTTCTTT